GGTCAGGCCGTGGCCGGCGCCGCGCTCCCTTGTGATGTTAATACCCCCGCAGACCTATTTTATTCCTTCCCCCCCGCTCCCCGCATCTGCCAGGGGAGGTGCGTGTTCCCCCGCTTTGATATACTCTTTCCACGAGCGCTGCCTCCTCTTTTTTCCTTTGTTCTTTTTATTTTTGGTCTTTTCTTTAAAAAATATAGATTTATATATAGAGGCCGAAAAAAAAGCCAAACAGGGTGGCGAATTTCGCAGTAAATAAGGACTTGTGGCATTCCTCTCTCATTCGGTTGCCTTGCGCGACGGACGGCAGGGCCGGTGGGGATCCCCGGGCGGCGTGGGCTGGGGGTCCCGGGCACACCCGCGCCCGCCGCCCCTCGGGGGAAGCCCCGGTACCGGCCGCTGGCACCGGCTACGCCCCGGGTGGCGATGGCGGTGGAGCTCTCCCAGGCCCGGTCGCGCTTCCCACAGCAGCCCGTGGTGTTCCCACAGTTTGGGCTTGTGCGGTGGTGGCCGGTCCCTTGTCTCCATTCAAATTCTGCCTTTGGAGCCAGTGTTTATGTTAATGTGCAGGGCTGGGGGGATGAAAGCGCCTGCCGCCATTTGTTCAGTAGTGGTAATTCAAACAGAATGTGGCTGTCATTAAGGCTTTGAGAAGGGTTTTTTCTTTGATAAGATCTCCTTGTCCTGCATTGTTTGGGACTGTGTTCCCTATTCACTGGCTCTGGGGAGTTTTCTCTGATCAGGCTTGTATCTTTAGAGGGTGCTTTTGTTGTGGTTTGCGGAGAGTTTACCTGAACAAAGTCAGCCTGCCAGCCATTACGCACCTTGGGGGCAGAGACTCCCCGCCTCGGCTCCCCGGGGAACGGGAGGGTCGGGGACACAACCAGTTAAACAAGAAACCCCCGGGAGAAAGGAGGTCGGCGGCTGCGGCGACGCGCACTCGCCGGCCGCTCGCTGGCATTCCCCTTCGGATTTTGTTGGGGTTGGTTTTTCGGGTTTTCTTTTTTTTGAGAGCTAAAGTTGAACGTCGGGCTCCCGGGGTCACCGGGAAGTCGCCGTAGGCGCTGCCCCCACGCCAGCGGCCGGGGGAGAAGCCGGAGGAGCCGGGCCCCGAGGGGCCTTCGACGGCCGCTCCCGGTTCTCCCCGATTGGGCTGGTGCTTCTCCTTTGGAAACGAACCCGCCGTGTCCCGAACAGGGCTTTTCTTTCTTTTCCCTTTTCCCTTCTCTTTGTAAAAAGTTTCTTCTCGGTGAGGAAGGCAAAACAAAACCGAAAGCCGACGGCAAGTGCACAATGGAGGTGTCCGAAGCACCACGCGTGGGCCGGGGGGGCTGGCAACCGGGGCCGAGAGCCCACGCTCGGCTTGTCCCTTCCCGCCGCCGTGCCTGGGGGTTCTGCACCGGGTCCCCGAGTGACACTGCTCCTCTCCCCCCTGTTCCCTGCGCTCGGTAAAGCCCCGGGCAGGGAGAGGCGAGCAGGAAGCCGGGGAGGCCTGATCCTGCTCGCCCTGCGCCCGTGGGGAGGAGAGCCGCCCTCCGCCCTTTGGCTTCGGCTTTCCCAACCCCGGCTTTGTTCTCCGCAGTTAAAACCAGGACGAAAGACAAGTACCGGGTGGTGTACACCGACCACCAGCGGCTGGAGCTGGAGAAGGAGTTTCACTACAGCCGCTACATCACCATCAGGAGGAAAGCGGAGCTGGCCTCCAACCTGGGGCTGTCGGAGAGGCAGGTCTGTCCCACGAGTGGCGCTTCCCACGCCCGCCATGCGTGTTACCGGGATGCGTGGGGCAGGGATGCACAGAACCGGGATGCGCGGGGCAGGGATGCACAGAGCCGGGATGCGGGGGGCAGGCAGGGATGAGCGGGGCTGGGATGCACGGGGTTGGCAGGGATGCGCGGGGTTGGCAAGAATGCGCGGAGCTGGGATGCGCAGGGTTGGCAGGGATGCGCGGGGCTGGGATGCGCGGGTTGGCAGGGATGCGCGGGGTTGGCAAGAATGCGCGGAGCTGGGATGCGCAGGGTTGGCAGGGATGCGCGGGGCTGGGATGCGCGGGTTGGCAGGGATGCGCGGGGTTGGCAAGAATGCGCGGAGCTGGGATGCGCAGGGTTGGCAGGGATGCGCGGGGCTGGGATGCGCGGGTTGGCAGGGATGCGCGGGGTTGGCAAGAATGCGCGGGGCTGGGATGCGCGGTGTTGGTGGGGATGCCCGGGGCCGGGATGCGCGGGGTTGGCAGGGATGCGCGGGGTTGGCAAGAATGAGCGGGGCAGGGATGCGCGGGGTTGGCAGAGATGCGCGGGTTGGCAGGGATGCGCGGGGTTGGCAAGAATGCGCGGGGCTGGGAGGCGCGGTGTTGGTGGGGATGCCCGGGGCCGGGATGCGCGGTGTTGGCGGGGATGCGCGGGGCCGGGATGCGGTCCCGTTGCGGCCCCTCCCGGAGGGGGACGGCGGCGGGGAACCACCCCCCTCACTCCCCTCTTTCTCCCCCGGCAGGTGAAAATCTGGTTCCAGAACAGGCGGGCGAAGGAGAGGAAGATCAACAAGAAGAAGCTGCAGCAGGCGCAGCCGGGCGGCGCGGAGCAGCTCAGCCCCGGAGCCCCGCTGCAGGCTCCCGCGGCGGGGGCGGCCGCCGCCGGGCTGGGTCCCGCCGCCCCCCAGTGACAGCGGCCGGGGGGATCACGGCGCAGGGACTGCTGGAGGGGGTGGCCGCGGCGGGGGCCGGGCCGGGCCGAGCCGGGACCGTCGGGGGGGCACGGTGGGATGGTCTCCCCCCCCAACCCCCGCGTATGCACTACACCGCCCCGCGGGGCCGGCCGTGTGTACAGATGTACAGTGTATGTGTCTCGTCGTCCGGGGGAAGCGTGGCCATCTCTTTATTAATATTATTATTATTATGTTTGGGTGGGTTTTGTTTTTTTACCCTGGAATTTGTTAGATAAAAATTGGGGGGGGGCGGGTATTGCCTGCCAGTCCACCCCCGGTGAATCTCAGGGATCGGTCCAAAAGACCTTAGAAATGTTGTTGGGCTAACGATGAATTTTAACAGGAAAAAAAAATAATTAAAGCACATTTCTTTTTTTTTTAATTTTATATTTTATTTTTTTTTCTTGTCACCGCAAATATGCAAAATGTTCATCCTGCCCTAAGGGCCAGAGCAGACAAGATAAGGCGCTGTTTAAACGTTCAGAAGTGAATTGCTTAATGTTAGACACTTGTAAAAGAGCCCATAAATCCCGTGCTGATAGTCACCCGGCCAGATTTATTAGCCGCAGTGCAGAGAAATTGGAAGAACGAAGTCTCCTCTGAAAAAGGTGTCCCGTCGTGCTGGAGTGAGGAGCCTTGCTTGTGCCTGCACAGTACGACTGCAAAGTGTCTGGTGCCATTTTGGAACGTCCCATCATTGAAATTATGTGCTGTTTCTCACCTCCTTATAAATTTGGGCTTCTTTGGAGTTTTTTTCCAGTTAGTTTTCCAAAGCCTCCTTGGTTTTACCAGCTTTACATAGGCTTCATTGCAGCCCTACCAGGAGAAGAAATCCTCAGATGAACACCGTGCTCCACCAGAATCCACCCTGGCCAGGCTGTGGCCCATTTCCACATGCTGGCTAGATGGTGGGGACCAGGACAGAGATGCCAAATGACTCACCTGGCTGGAGAGGAAAACAAGGAAAGTCTGTCTGTTTGCCATGTGTTCTTCTTCCTTATGGCTGGGAGAAACCCCACTGAGAAGTGAGCCATGAAGCTGGGCTGGGGCAGCTGCACTGCAGCCCATGGCCGGGGCCGGGTGTGGGACCAGCTCATGTGGGCCTGGACCCTGGCAGGGGTGGCAGCACCGTCCAGCCCCAAACACGTTATGCGGGTTTCTGACTTCTCCAGCATTTGGCCCCATGTTTTTCCATTTTTCTCATCAAATTTATTTAAGATACTCCGTTTGCCTTCTTTGGGGCAGTTTGTTTTTCACCTTGCTGACCCTGTTCTCTTCTTTCTGCTGAAATCGAGGCCAAATGCCAGCAGAATCTCCAGGACTGCACGGGGAGGATTGGTTTGCCAGGTCCTGGGGCCATGGACATTGTAGCTCTCTCTACATGGGAGATCTTGGGGAAATGTTGGGCACCAGCCCCAAAGCCTCTGTGCTGGGTTTTGGCTGTGTGTAACTCCATGGCTTGCTGGGCCAGGGGCTGGGTGGTGGCCATGCAAACCTGATCTGGGGCTCCTGCGCTTGGGGGGAGACCGTGGTGGGAGGCAGCACCTTCGGTGCTGATTTTCTGCCTCGTGTGTAGTCTCTGAAGGGGGTCTCACCAGGAGACATGGGTGCAGCACCCAGGAAGTTATGGGCTTGACACACACCACGTCTTGCTGGGTCCAATGTCCATGGTTCACTCTGGACCTGAGGAACCAGATCCATCCTTCTTTGCCTCTAAAGGGTCCGTGGATCTTTCTGGAGGAGCTGCTTCCCTGGGGACACCTAGAGCTGAGCAGCACCCAGAGTGAGGGGCTTGGCTGGGCAGCACTAGCCTTACACCAGACAGAGGAGAGCAGTTACACCAAGGATGGCCAAACTAGACGGGCCTTGCAGGCACCACGACCCACTCCTTCCTCTGCGCTCTCCCCAGGGGGGGCAGGAGGGCTGTTGGGGGGCAGTGGCCGTGCCAGCAGCCGGGGCTCGGGCAGCCCCCCGGGAGGTGCCGTCCGTCCCTTCGAGGATGCCCTCCGGTGCCCAGGGCCACCCCCGCAGCGTTGATCCCCCGGCCCCGCTGCTGCCCGAGTTGCTCCGCGTTGCTGCGATACGCCTGTCAATAAACCCTGTTTGGATTGTGGAGCAGAGCGCAAGGTTTGTTTGTTTAGTGGTTAGAGGTTCAAAAGTCGGCATTGTCCCACTGCAAACGAGCACAAGTTTTTTCTCCCTAAGGAAAAGCTGGCTGCGGGCAAGAGGGAGGGAGAGATATCGGTGGGCCCTTCTATTTGCTTCCAGGAATAATTAATGGCAGCGTGAAAAAAAGATGACCACGGAGTTATGAACGGCCATCAATAAGTAAATCAATCTCACAGGATCTGGGGGTGTGAGGGGTGCTGCTCGGTGTGGTTTTGCTGGCATTTCTCCGTGCCCCAGGGCTGGGGTAGCACGGGGCTGGTGGAGCCCATGGCTCCCCACCACAATGCTGGCACACGGCTGCCCCAGCACCAGCCCGGGCACAGCAAGATTTGGGACAGTTCCTCTAACCCCTCAGCAGCGTCCTCCTGGTTGTCTCTAATGCTGAAAGTATGAAGATTTCCATTGTGTTTCCAAAGCATTTCTCTTGCCTGTAGGACTGTCAAGAAAGAGAGTTGCCCCCCTTGAAGTGAACTGCTTGACGTCCACAAAGGCTTCCAAAAACTTCATCAGAGACACATGAACGAGCCTGACACATTTTAAACATCCCCATTACAGATTTCTTCCCCTCTTTGATAGCAAACATTCATTTTCTGAGGTCTGCTCAGATTCTAGATGGTGGCAATGCAGAACTTGAATTTCCCAGTGTAAAAAGGAACTGGCCAAGCAAATTGTATCCACACCCAATTTCAAACATTTCCCCCCTCCCATCCCCAAACAAATAAACCAGCAACCTTCCGGCTTCCTTTATACTCCTCGTGCACCATAAAGGAGTGTAAAAAGGCGCAAACTGGGTATCTTGTTTATTTGGGAGGATATTTACAAGTGCCTGAACCGGTCCTGTGGCTAGGCTACAGTGTTGAACCTGAAGCACCCTTTGGGAGCAGTGAGCTGGTTGTGGTGACCCCCTGCCCAGCCCATGGGTGTTTTTAACCCTCACGGAGCTCCCCACTGTCCTGCAGCTGCGAGTTGAGCTGAACTGATGGGGAACAATGGGTCAGAGCTGCTGCTGCACCTTTTGTGCCCGACAGGGACTGGAGTGGGTGTCCTTGGAGAGCCTCTGCCCGGGACAGATGAAATCCAGGAAACTAGAAGGTTTGACCCCTGTATTGCAGAATGACAGTCCCCCTCTCTTGACAGGTTTTCTGGCTCCTATCACCATACAGTTACAAAGCACTTAGGATCCCTTCTCTTGGCTTAGCTCTTAGCCAAATATGAGTTTCTTAAGAAAGCTCTTTGAGTTTTGGGCAAGAAATGACCGTGTGTCATAGCCCACCATGGGGAGAACAGTAAGGTCCTTAGACAGAGGACTTGGATGGCATCTGAAGCAAATGTCTGCTTTCTCTGATCTTGAGGATCTTCTAGGGGCACGTTATGTGTACTCAGCCTGATAGCTGAGTGATCTGGGTCTACAGTAAGAAGACAGTGGGCTTTTTAAAAAGTAAAAAACCCCAACTTCTCTCAGTAGTAAGCACCAACTTGAGACACATCCCCCCATGCCCCCTTTTGCCCACATAAGTGGCTTTGGTAGGGCAGGTTGTTTCCATCCGTGGGTGAAGCAGTGACTAGAAACACACATCCCACCCGCGTGACAGAGGGCAGAGCTCATCCTTCAGGAAATGAGAGGGGTTTTGCTATGTGTGACATAAATCCTGGCTCCAGAGGTTTGTGCAAGGCCATGGGTTTCTCTTTGCCTCTCCATCAGTGGCTGGAGTGGAAGAGGAAATCGTGGAGTTTACAATCCTGTTGACACAGCTCTATTGGATACAGCTCTTCGCAGCCAAAATTAATGACCAAGTACTTTCCCTGGTTCCCACCCGGGTAATGGAGCTGTGTGCTGAAGTTTAGAGCAGTTACAGCTGAAAACAAAAGTTGAGCTGATGCCAGAGGAGCAGCGCTGGAGGCCTTCCAGGAGCAAACAGCTTGTAAATGGTAATGAAAGTCAGCAGGACATGAGTCTGCTGAAGGCACATCCAGCTCCATGGGTAGCTCAGCAAGAAAACAAAGGCCACCTTCATGTGAGAAGGCACAAGCTGGGTGACCTGATGCAGCAGAGGACAAGTGCCAGGGAAGTGTGAGCGAGGAAGCTCCCTAGTAAAACATCTCTGGTGACTGGGGGAAAGCCATGGCAAAAAAGGAACCTCTGGGGACAGATGGGGCCAAACTCCCCTGAAAGCCTTGGCAGCCCTCCGGGTTGTGCTCCAGCTGAGCTCCTTGGTGGAGCTGGATGTTCTCCCTCTCCTCGCTGGTAAGGAGGGGCTGCTTCCTTCTCACCTGCGTGTTCTGCCACGCTGTGACTCAGGTGAACATAGGCAGTTTCTTCTAATGAATGGCTTGGCTTCTGCAATGCCCCCAGTTCCATTCTCAGTTTTTGGCACTTTCAGAAGCTAAACTTACCTTCTTTGAAAGAGGAAGACAGACACTTGCTTGCAAAGGGAGAGGAAAAATTTGAGCTATTCACTAAAACAAATAGTTTGTTGCCAGGAGCCTGGAGCCAGAGACCCAGGAATCCCTTTCTAGCCCTGTATTTCTAAATTGAAGTATCATCTATTTTGCAATGACACCCACTGGATCCCCCTGCAGATGCTTTCGAAGTACAGGAAGCATGAGAAAAAAGAGGATGAAAACTCATGGGTGATTCTCGTTTCATGCTCATGCAGGTGTCTAGATACAGATCTGTGGCACGCAGCAGGGCCCAGTCCAATCTACCATTGGCAAGATCGCAGGTAATAGGAATAACTTTCCTCTTTTTCCTTATTTCCTCTAATTATAATAATATCTAACCTAACATAATATCTAACATAATCTATCTAT